TTTCAATGGAACTATTTAAAACATATTCTATAAGATTTGAGTCGTTTCTGTCGTCGATAAGTTCCACAATGACATACGAAGCCATCGTGTATATGTCTGATGTCGGTCTGGTTATGATGGATATACATGTTCATTGCCGATTGTTTCCCATTTGTCATCACTTATGCACAGTTTTCAAATCAAAATGGAAAGATTAAGAGCGAATCCAACACCACAATATGTAAAGAGTTAGCACTGCATGAAATTGAGATTAAACAAACAGTAATTTCATATAGCTCTTAATGTTTTCATATATATATATGAACCCAATGTAGTACTTGTCTTTTTGTTTCATTTTTAATATATGCTTCTTACATTTAATATATGCTTCTTACATTTAATATATGCTTCTTACATTCAAAAGCAAAACAAACGATGTTAGAATATGAAGAATTCGAAAACATCACATCGCATCAAGTGTTAAAATATGAAATAACAGTATTCATAGGCAATTGGCAAACGGAACAGTTGTCTGATTAAATATCTTTTGAACTAAAGTACACAAGCAGATGTAACAATTACTAAAACAACCTATCAGCTTACGATTATACATGTAAATGTGCAATTGTAAGATTCAATTATGCCGTCATTATGTTTGTCTGGAGGATCAAGACGTGAACAATCCTGGCAGGGAATGAAAGGCTTAGGAACTACACTTCCTGTAGGCATGTTTAACGTAAAGTCGCTTCCAGAAAACCGCAATAACTTTTGAGACTGACATAATGCGTGTTAATTTTCATCAGATTGAGATCGTATTGCAGTTATAAGAACGTAAGGAATAAACTAACAATTTTGTTACATAGTATTTCATTGCTGAGAAAGAACCTAGACTTCATAACTATTCCTGCAAATTCTCCCAGTCACTGAAATTTAAGGAAAACTTCCACTCGCTTAATTTTCACAAATACGTTTAGTCACTTAGTATTCTCGAAAACTTCCACTCGCTTAATTTTCACAAATACCATTAGTCACTAAGTATTCTCAAAACTTCCACTCGCTTAATTATCACAAATACGTTTAGTCACTAAGTATTCTCGAAAACTTCCACTCGCTTAATTTTCACAAATACGTTTAGTCACTAAGTATTCTCGAAAACTTTCAGTCGCTTTTATTTTTGACAAAAAAATCAGGTACAAAAGTGGTCACGAATATTTTCAGTCAATCAAGAACTTCCAGTCAATTTGTTTCAGGAGCTCTTAACATTACCTTAATCATATACTTCCAATGATATAGTTTTCATTAATACTTCAGACCACTTGATTTTCAGGAACAATTTAGTTGCTCAGCTTAAGTATTGCTTCCGTGCATTTTGTTTACGTGAGTGTCTATTTTCGCATTTATACTGTATATATATATATATGTATATTAGATATTGGATTCAGCGGTTGATGTTATACGAAAACATACATCTTCATTTACTTCAAAAGTTTTCCGTCACAAAATTATCGGAATGAAAACTTTTTGCAACAAAAAGATAAAATGCTTCCTTCGAGTGGGAAAGTACACCCAACAACACTTGATCTTACCCAGTACGACAGTCGACCCAATACCTCACCGCTGGTAACTTGGACTGGCATTGTCTCAACAAAACCAATAAAGGTGCGTTAAAAAATCCATCAGTTGCAGTGAAAAAAACATTGTTTGAATAATTTGGCAATCTTTCATGACATATTTTGTTTCATAAGAATATTTCAAATCCTTGTATTACACTACGCACCGTAGGATAATGAATTTAAACTGTTTTCATATGGTATACATATTTTTGTTCTCAGTCAGTGTTGAGGGTTCCTACCTTGTTTCGTTAGGAGAGAATAATATAGATTCATCAAAGCCAGCGATATGTGAACTCCGTGGTTTGTTGTGAGTCGTCCAACCCATCTCGACATCCATCATCGTTACAGAACACATTTACCTTATAATATATTGGACGAGGTTTTCACCAGCCCACCCAGGATAAACGGCTATCTACAAGACAAATTAGCAGAGAACGAGCGATTTGTATAACCTTTCTACAATGCTAGACATGAAAGTCCTATTATGACGACGAACTGGATCTGCTTTCGGAAACAATAACTAAGATCAGATAGCGTTTCGTTTGAGAAATTCCACTATATGAAAAGGTAACATTCAGAGAATTCGTTGATTACATTCCGAGTTGTTCGTGTCTACTTACATAAATGTGAATCATCGTATTTTCAAAACCTGATATTCATTAATGAAACTCCTTCATTTTTCCTATTAATTAAAGCGTTTGTTTGACTTAGGTGTGCCTTAAATGTGGACATGCGTTCAAGTCACCGGAAGTGGTATTTATGTTGTTAGCCATTTTACATTCGGTGTGGTTCGGGCACCTGTTATTTGTTATCCACATATTTCTGGTGCGTTGTTCATACTTTAAGGCGTAAGTCATATTCAGTCATTCACCCTGCGTGCAATGTTACCGTGTGACGTCACGGTTATATGTTTGTGACGTCAGGACATTTAACCGGATATTTTCATATAAGATATCTCGAAGTTATTGATCACCCAATTTTTTTTTTGGAGAGTACAGGATATAGTTTATCAAATGGTTGCTCCTTGAATACCATATACATTCATTGTGGAACTATGGAGGTATTATGTCATACGAGTGAATACATGTTGTGTTCAATAAAAACCTATTAATTTCATTATCCTATAGATTTCTATAACTCTAAAAACCAAGAGTTGATTTGTAAAATAAAAAAACATCAAGCATGGCGCTATGATCACGTGATGCAGATTGCATGCTACTTTTCCTCGGTAAAACATAAGATAATACTTCAGTGTGTATACTTGTTACATTTTAGTTATACTTGCAATTTTCTTTTAAATAAGATTTAACTGTGAACCTTTTTGGAAATTATCCATCTTTAACCTCCATTGTTAGAATTATCTTTATATGTCGATATATTTAACAGTGAGTATTAGATTTTTTGTGGATTTTTATTATTTATGAAATAAACATTTTTTAGAGATATTGTTAAGAATATCCCCTGCTTGGGAAGCACCGTACGTTCAGACTCGTTAACAGGTCCGTGCTTAGTATTATAAGTAGTACACTGACATCAAAGATAAGGCGAGTACGGCTATCAGATATACGTCCTAGATGTATTTCTGCAGTATAATGCATACATACATAATACAGCCATGTAAACACCTGAATTTGATTTATGAAGTGACGTGTCAATTTGTATGAACAGATGCTCACGTTTCCATATTCATATTCAACAATTTAATGCATAATAAAATATAGATAATAGGTTCAAGTATGAATATGGTATGGAAATTGGGTATTTTCATCGTGGTTCGGGTTATCATACATGCCCACGCGGACCCCCATGGTAAGGAATGACGACCTACCACATACACCACCTGTTAGCGATTTTAATAGCTGCGCATGCTTAGAGAGCATTTCCGTTCTGGTTGTGCCAGGTGGTTCTAAGATACCAGACCATTGCAGTCACGTGCACGTACTCCTGTGTGCTTTCTCTGATACACGTGTATTGCCTGTTCTGTGGTGGCTACACGTGCTCCTGTGTGCTTCCTCTGATACACGTGTATTGCCTGTTCTGTGGTGGCTACACGTGCTCCGTCTTTTCCACACGGCACGGTATACTGAATTATCAGATACTGAAGTAGAGCATTTTTCTTTAGGTCACGGAACCAATACCCGATATATATGGGATCAAACATCATTATTATCAATATCTCTTTACCATATCGCTTTCCAGTATTAATTCAATGGTTAAAGAAAAGGCAAATGTTACATTTATTTTAAACATAACAGATTTTACTATGTGCATTTAAACTCGGATAAGGAGTCAAAAATCAAGAACAGTCACACAGATTGCCCCCCGCCTATGGACACACAAAAGACAACCCAACCTTCGATGGTGGAGTGCGGGGTTAATAATGATGGAGGGGGTGTAGATAGATGTAATCGAACCATTCTATCACACGACTGACCGTGGTTTAACCATGGTTAATGTTCAAAAGCATAGTCACCTATTGTTTGATCATAGTTACAGCATAGTTAAACCATTGTCACAGCAGGGAAAGGCCATTGTTAGCCACTAAACGAAAAAGTCAAACTACGGGTTGAACTTGGTTAGGTGATGTGAAACCAATTAAGGTTGTACAGCCATATTTAACCATGGTTTACCATGGTCCAGTGTGGTTTAAAAGTACTTAAATTGCCTGGCAGTTAGAGATGCATGCAACGTGGGAGGACATTGATAAAGACTCATACCTAATGGAACAATAGGAAACTGTCAATACGTAGGCAAGTTTATGGAAGTGAAACAAGACACAAATCCAAATCCCATAATGTGGTATTGTAAACAAACCCCATAATGTGGTATTGTAAACAAACCCCATGATGTGGTATTGTAAACTGTAGTTTATTTTGCATGTGTACATGATATCATTGGAGAAACATCATTGTGTCAGGTCTAACAGATTGATTAACTGAACGTTCTATGAAGTTATGGACATATGATTCAGAAATAACTTATTTTGCATTTTTGAGTATTTGTTTCTGTGGTATCAGTAAATTCCGCAAATGAAACCTCACAGATAGCTAAATGGACAACCTCTACACTAGATTTGTATGAATATAAAGTTTACTGAAGTTACATGTATCTCCCAATTTGAGAGCAATTAAAAGTAACTTAAACCGTTTTGTTAAGTTTTCAAGCTTTCCTTACTTGCGCTTCCGTCTACTCTGGATAACTTTAAGCTTTGAAACGGGTTTGTGAAACCGACCCGATTTAGTGGCACAAGGCTGGTTTAGCTGCAATTCAGAACAACACTACCCGAGTTAGCTAGGTCGTCAAAACCCACCTTTACGGGATGCAAACAGTTTTTAAGTATCCCTGTTATTCTTTAATATTTGCATGGTACTATATTTATTCTAATACATCTTTTTTTTCAATTTACAGGTAAAAATCCTAACCGGCCGATTTTTTTCTACGATTTCCAGGCCAACCCCATCCCAATTATTACCCCCGGGACATTGTATGTGAGCATGGCGGGGAATATCTCCCACGACCTTCCCCGGAGGATTTCTATAAAACTGGAAGTTAAAAAATACTTTATTGGTATTGCCTTTCTAGTACCGTGCTTTGATAGCCACATAGGTTCATGGTAAGTAGTATAACACAGTGTTATTAAAATTAAAGTTCAATCATACAGTTTATTGAAGAAATATTATATAATCCAGTTTTAATAACTTAAATAATTAAAGTTAATTTTAATGACTTAGAATTATCGTTCTTCGCCTTTATCACAATCTTTCTTATCTCGAACTAGCACACATGAATTAAGACGAACTTTAATTGGTTCAATTCCATAGGATATATATTTCAGTTATATGTTAAACTGTCTTATCTCGCGCTTTGAAGCGTATATTGTAAGCGCCCACTTGAAGACGTTTTGTTTTCAATCTGATATCCATTTGAGATATTCTTGTTCAGGTTGACTTCTAATTCGAAATGTCTTTATATGACGATTATCTTTTAACTCGAAATCGATTCAGTCCAATACATGAGCGAGTAATAAATCTGGTCATGTATACAGCAACAACATTTCCTTATTTCAAATAGTCTGTCACATATGTCTATTCCTACGACCATTATATCATTGTGTCTATTCCTACGACCATTATATTAATGGGTCTATTCCTACGACCATTATATCTATGTGTCTATTCCTACGACCATTATATCAATGTGTCTATTACTATGACCATTATATCAATGTGTCTATTCCTACGACCATTATATCTATTTGTCTATTCCTACGACCATTATATCATTGTGTCTATTCCTACGACCATTATATAATTGTGTCTATTACTACGACCATTATATCAATGTGTCTATTACTACGACCATTATATCATTGTGTCTATTCCTATGACCATTATATCATTGTGTCTATTCCTACGACCATTATATCAATGTGTCTATTACTACGACCATTATATCATTTTGTCTATTCCTACGACCATTATATTAATGTGTCCATTCCTACGACCATTATATCATTGTGTCTATTCCTAAGACCATTATATCTATGTGTCTATTCCTACGACCATTATATCAATGTGTCTATTCCTCCGACCATTATATCAATGTGTCTATTCCTACAGCCATTATATCATTGTGTCTATTCCTACGACCATTATAGCAATGTGGGTATTACTACGACCATTATATCTATGTGTCTATTACTACGACCATTATATCTATGTGTCTATTCCTACAACCATTATATCATTGCCATCATATCAATGTATCTATTCTACGACCATTATATCAATGTGTCTATTACTACAACCTTCATATCAATGTGTCTATATCTACGACCCTTATATCAATGTGTCTATTACTACGACCATTATTTCTATGTGTCTATTCCTACGACAATTATATCATTCTGTCTATTCCTACGACCATTATAGCAATGTGTGTATTCCTACGACCATTATATCTATGTTTCTATTCCTACGACCATTATATTAATGTGTCTATTCCTACGACCATTATATCAATGTGTCTATTCCTACGACCATTATATCATTGTGTCTATATCTACGACCATTATATCTATGTGTCTATTCCTACAACCATTATATCATTGTGTCTATTACTACGACCATTATATCAATGTGTCTATTCCTACGACCATTATATCTATGTGTCTATATCTACGACCATTATATCAATGTGTCTATATCTACGACCATTATATCAATGTGTCTATATCTACGACCATTATATCAATGTGTCTATATCTACGACCATTATATCAATGTGTCTATTACTACGACCATTATATCAATGTGTCTATTCCTACAACCATTATATCATTGTGTCTATTCCTACGACCTATATCTACGACCATTATATCAATGTGTCTATATCTACGACCATTATATCAATGTGTCTATATCTACGACCATTATATCAATGTGTCTATATCTACGACCATTATATCAATGTGTCTATATCTACGACCATTATATCAATGTGTCTATTACTACAACCATTATATCAATGTGTCTATTACTACGAACATTATATCAATGTGTCTATTCCTACGACCATTATATCTATGTGTCTATATCTACGACCATTATATCAATGTGTCTATTCCTACAACCATTATATCATTGTGTCTATTACTACGACCATTATATCAATGTGTCTATTCCTACAACCATTATATCATTGTGTCTATTACTACGAACATTATATCAATGTGTCTATTCCTACGACCATTATAGCAATGTGGGTATTACTACGACCATTATATCTATGTGTCTATTCCTACGACAGTTATGTCAATGTGTCTATTACGACGACCATTATATCAATGTGTCTATCCCTACGACAGTTATATCAATGTGTCTATTCCTATGACCATTATATCAATGTTTCTATTCCTACGACCATTATATCATTGTGTCTATTACTACGACCATTATATCAATGTGTCTATTCCTACAACCATTATATCATTGTGTCTATTACTACGACCATTATATCAATGTGTCTATTCCTACAACCATTATATCATTGTGTCTATTACTACGACCATTATATCAATGTGTCTATTACTACGACCATCATATCAATGTGTCTATATCTACGACCATTATATCAATGTGTCTATATCTACGACCATTATATCAATGTGTCTATATCTACGACCATTATATCAATGTGTCTATATCTACGACCATTATATCAATGTGTCTATTACTACGACCATTATATCAATGTGTCTATTCCTACGTCCATTATATCTATGTGTCTATTCCTACGACAGTTATATCAATGTGTCTATTACGACGACCATTATATCAATGTGTCTATCCCTACGACAGTTATATCAATGTGTCTATTCCTATGACCATTATATCAATGTTTCTATTCCTACGACCATTATATCAATGTGTCTATTACTACAACCATCATATCAATGTGTCTATATCTACGACCATTATATCAATGTGTCTATTCCTACGACCATTATATCTATGTGTCTATTCCTACGACAGTTATATCAATGTGTCTATTACGACGACCATTATATCAATGTGTCTATCCCTACGACAGTTATATCAATGTGTCTATTCCTACGACCATTATATCAATGTTTCTATTCCTACGACCATTATATCAATGTGTCTATTCCTACGACCATTATATCAATGGGTCTATTCCTACGACCATTATATCAATGTGCCTTTTACTACGACCATTATATCAATGTGTCTATTCCTACAACCATTATATCAATGTGTCTATTACTACGACCATTATATCTATGTGTCTATTCCTACAACCATTATATCATTGTGTCTATTGCTACGACCATTGTATCAATGTGTCTATTACTACGACCATTATATCAATGTGTCTTTTCCTACGACCATTATATCAATGTGTCTATTCCTACAACCATTATATCATTGTGTCTATTGCTACGACCATTGTATCAATGTGTCTATTACTACGACCATTATATCAATTGTCTATTCCTACGACCATTATATCTATGTGTCTATTCCTACGACAGTTATATCAATGTGTCTATTACGACGACCATTATATCAATGAGTCTATCCCTACGACAGTTATATCAATGTGTCTATTCCTATGACCATTATATCAATGTTTCTATTCCTACGACCATTATATCATTGTGTCTATATCTACGACCATTATATCAATGTGTCTAAATCTACGACCATTATATCTATGGTTTTTTTATTTTCTTCAATGTGTCTATATCTACGACCATTATATCAATGTGTCTAAATCTACGACCATTATATCTATGGTTTTTTTATTTTCTTCACGGTAAAGACGTCCGACAATATCAATGTGTCTATTACTACAACCATTATATCATTGTGTCTATTCCTACGACCACTATATCAATGTGTCTATTCCTACGACCATTATATCAATGGGTCTATTCCTACGACCATTATATCAATGTGCCTTTTACTACGACCATTATATCAATGTGTCTATTCCTACAACCATTATATCAATGTGTCTATTCCTTCGACCATTATATCAATGTGTCTATTCCTACGACCACTATATCAATGTGTCTATTCCTACGACCATTATATCTATTTGTCTATTCCTACGACCATTATATCATTGTGTCTATTCCTACAACCATTATATCAATGTGTCTATTACTACGACCATTATATCTATGTGTCTATTCCTACGACCATTATATCAATGTTTCTATTCCTACGACCATTATATCAATGTGTCTATATCACCGACCATTATATCATTGTGTCTATTCCTACAACCATTATATCATTGTGTCTATTGCTACGACCATTGTATCAATGTGTCTATTACTACGACCATTATATCTATGTGTCTATTCCTACAACCATTATATCATTGTGTCTATTGCTACGACCATTGTATCAATGTGTCTATTACTACGACCATTATATCAATTGTCTATTCCTACGACCATTATATCTATGTGTCTATTCCTACAACCATTATATCATTGTGTCTATTCCTACGACCATTATATCCTTGTGTCTATTCCTACGACCATTATATCATTGTGTGTATTCCTACGACCATTATATCAATGTGTCTATTACTACAACCATTATATCATTGTGTCTATTCCTACGACCACTATATCAATGTGTCTATTCCTACGACCATTATAGCATTGTGTCTATTCCTACGACCATTATAGCAATGTGTCTATTTCTACGACCATTATATCAATGTGTCTATTACTACGACCATTATATCTATGTGTCTATTCCTACGACAGTTATATCAATGTGTCTATTACGACGACCATTATATCAATGTGTCTATCCCTACGACAGTTATATCAATGTGTCTATTCCTATGACCATTATATCAATGTTTCTATTCCTACGACCATTATATCATTGTGTCTATTACTACGACCATTATATCAATGTGTCTTTTCCTACGACCATTATATCAATGTGTCTATTCCTACTACCATTATATCAATGTGTCTATATCAACGACCATTATATCATTGTGTCTATTCCTACAACCATTATATCATTGTGTCTATTACTACGACCATTATATCAATGTGTCTATATCTACGACCGTTATATCATTGTGTCTATATCTACGACCATTATATCATTGTGTCTATTCCTACAACCATTATATCAATGTGTCTATTACTACGACCATTATATCTATGTGTCTATTCCTACGACAGTTATATCCATGTGTCTATTACGACGACCATTATATCAATGTGTCTATCCCTACGACAGTTATATCAATGTGTCTATTCCTATGACCATTATATCAATGTTTCTATTCCTACGACCATTATATCATTGTGTCTATTCCTACGGCCATTATATCAATGTGTCTATTCCTACGACCATTATAGCAATGTGTCTATTACTACGACCATTATATCATTGTGTCTATTACTACGACCATTATATCAATGTGTCTATTACGACGACCATTATATCAATGAGTCTATCCCTACGACAGTTATATCAATGTGTCTATTCCTACGACCATTATATCAATGTGTCTATATCTACGACCATTATATCTATGGTTTTTTTATTTTCTTCACGGTAAAGACGTCCGACATTCTGCTTCCACTAGCCCTCCACCCCTGGGTCGCGGGTTTGTGGCCTACGTGGGACAGTCGCCAGCTACTGGCTGTAGGTCGGTGTTTTTTCTCCGGGAACTCCGACTTTCCTCCACCACCAAACCTGGCTCGTTTAAATGACCACAGCTGTTAATAGGACGTAAAACACAAACAAACAAAGTATACCGATCGTAATGAGACGTAGTTTAACAACTGTAATCAGACCTTAATAAGTTGGTATATTATGACGTCGATCAAGCAATATTTCTTCAAACTAGTTATAGCGTATGTGTTTGAAACACACATTTACTTCTAAACCCCGACTGGTATTGTATACGTGTATCTCTAGACTTCTACACACCGACTGGTATTGTATACGTGTATCTCTAGACTTCTACACACCGACTGGTATTGTATACGTGTATCTCTAGACTTCTACACACCGACTGGTATTGTATACGTGTATCTCTAGACTTCTACACACCGACTGGTATTGTATACGTGTATCTCTAGACTTCTACACACCGACTGGTATTGTATACGTGTATCTCTAGACTTCTACACACCGACTGGTATTGTATACGTGTATCTCTAGACTTCTACACACCGACTGGTATTGTATACGTGTATCTCTAGACTTCTACACACCGACTGGTATTGTATACGTGTATCTCTAGACTTCTACACACCGACTGGTATTGTATACGTGTATCTCTAGACTTCTACACACCGACTGGTATTGTATACGTGTATCTCTAGACTTCTACACACCGACTGGTATTGTATACGTGTATCTCTAGACTTCTACACACCGACTGGTATTGTATACGTGTATCTCTAGACTTCTACACACCGACTGGTATTGTATACGTGTATCTCTAGACTTCTACACACCGACTGGTATTGTATACGTGTATCTCTAGACTTCTACACACCGACTGGTATTGTATACGTGTATCTCTAGACTTCTACACACCGACTGGTATTGTATACGTGTATCTCTAGACTTCTACACACCGACTGGTATTGTATACGTGTATCTCTAGACTTCTACACACCGACTGGTATTGTATACGTGTATCTCTAGACTTCTACACACCGACTGGTATTGTATACGTGTATCTCTAGACTTCTACACACCGACTGGTATTGTATACGTGTATCTCTAGACTTCTACACACCGACTGGTATTGTATACGTGTATCTCTAGACTTCTACACACCGACTGGTATTGTATACGTGTATCTCTAGACTTCTACACACCGACTGGTATTGTATACGTGTATCTCTAGACTTCTACACACCGACTGGTATTGTATACGTGTATCTCTAGACTTCTACACACCGACTGGTATTGTATACGTGTATCTCTAGACTTCTACACACCGACTGGTATTGTATACGTGTATCTCTAGACTTCTACACACCGACTGGTATTGTATACGTGTATCTCTAGACTTCTACACACCGACTGGTATTGTATACGTGTATCTCTAGACTTCTACACACCGACTGGTATTGTATACGTGTATCTCTAGACACATACATCATGTCCCTAACTGGCATTCCAAATCATTTGCACATAACATTTTGTTCAAAAATAATAATTCAAACGCCAAGTTACAACTACATTTGAACGCTTTGACTGGAGGCCTATTTAAGTGTGCAGACACACCGTACTTAAATTGTACTTAAAATCGTTATTCTATTCAGCTTCAGTATACAAACCTCCTGGTAGAGAAAGTAAAAGTCGCTTGGCAGATCGAGGATGTTTAAGCAAACAAAGGGATATTACTTATTATATACATCTAATAGTTCGTATGTCGGAAACCTCCCAACAATTTCTATATTTGTCGATAATATGGAGGCGAAGACATTCCTTGTATAGTCTATATAAGATCGACAATGGTGGGCTCTGTTCCATAGCGTGCCCCCTTTAATAATAGTCTCCAGTCCTTAATATCACTCATACTTCAAAGGAAAACATAGCATTTTACATCTTCATAATATATTTAACAAATAATTGTCGCAAAATGAAATGGTTTGATAAAATAGACAATTTGACAAATCATGACCAAAGTTCAATAGTAGGACGATGAAATGGCACTTTTTGACGACAAGTAAACTAGAACAAATGCCTGTATACCCCCGGGTATTTACGGACGAGTGTAGCTTGACCGTCTAATGAGCTTAACAAACAATATACTGTTCAATTTAAGCATAACTAAATACACAGAGATTTTTGCTGGTTACTCTTCCACCTCGCATATAAAGCACGTGACTAGCCGGAAGTAGTTGATAAAACATTTAAGTGAATTGCTGTGGTGTGCTTTCTAAACAGACGGATAGAGATATAACTAATGTTTACGTACGTATGACGTCAACTTTTTGTCACCTTGAACACATAAAATACTCAGACGAAGCCGACCTTTATTGGACTTTAATAGTCATTCCTATAATTAAAAGGAACAGGGGGATTTCGATACCTGTAATTATATTCTATTAGCTATTAGGGTGCACAAACGTTCGAGTGACCCCGCCCGGTTGTGCGAGACCAAAGTAGGCGATAAGGATAGTAACCGGCACCAAAGACGACAACAGACTACACCGCTCTATAAATCATTCGGCTAAAGAGGTTGTGTCTCCATGTATTTATCTCCTAACCACCTCTCCCCGCCCTCTACTGCGCCACACACAATCACATCGAACACCTGGGTGTGAGCAACCGCTTCTCTTACTTGACGCGATACAACGGTCTATAAAAACAGTTTTCACGATACACTATACTCAGAATTCAATACGTATTGTGATATCAGTGTCACAATTCGGTTATTTTCAATTACTGAAACAGGATTAGTAGGTAGGCAACTTAATTATGTTTTATATGATACTCGCAGCATTGCAGTTATGAACATACGGATCAAAGAGGATTGATTATTTTATGATATGCAACAATTATGTTCCTGTTTGTTACCAACACAAACAGGACTCATTTGAGAGAGAAAAATCCACATTCCTCGGCTCTCTTCAATACGTATCGCTATAATCTATATATTGCGTAGTAAAATAATCCTACAATAGTACGTTCCTTTACCAAGTCCGATTCAACACTTCGGTATCTCATGTTGATAATATACCATTTTTTTAATTTAATCTTTTCTTCAATCGCCTTTGTTTTTTTCTATTTCAGTACCTACGATAATATTTGTGCAAACTTAGAGACTTTTGAAAGAAGACAGCGTTGTCCGAAGCGGTTACGTAATTTCAATATTCAGTGTCATTGTCCATTCCAAGCCGGCGAGTTTACTTTTAAAGATCTGGCTTTAAATATTCCCAAAATAGGAGGATTTGCTGGAGCTTTTGTCAAAGTAAGAGTAAGCATATACTTTTTTACTTATTCTTCTTTATTAAGTGTACGATTCTTATTCTTAATTTTGCAGCATATAAATAGTTTTAATGTACATCTGGGCGTGTCCACATAAAACCGGAAGTAAGTAGCAGAAGAGACCGGAAACGGCGTGACGTGAAGCCGCACACAAAAAAGCCGACTGATAAATGGAAGAAAAATCTTACTGCCCTTAAAGCAACTTATACCACATCACTTTCGGCAGTTTGTGTACAGATAAAACTTATAACACATCACTTTCGGCAATTTGTGTACAGATACAACTTATAACACATCACTTTCGGCAATTTGTGTACAGATAAAACTTATAACACATCACTTTCGGCAGTTTGTGTAAAGATAAAACTTATAACACATCACTTTCGGCAGTTTGTGTACAGATAAAACTTATAACACATCACTTTCGGCAGTTTGTGTACAGATAAAACTTATAACACATCACTTTCGGCAATTTGTGTACAGATAAAACTTATAACACATCACTTTCGGCAATTTGTGTACAGATAAAACTTATAACACATCACTTTCGGCAGTTTGTGTACAGATAAAACTTATAACACATCACTTTCGGCAGTTTGTGTACAGATAAAACTTATAACACATCACTTTCGGCAGTTTGTGTACAGATAAAACTTATAACACATCACTTTCGGCAGTTTGTGTACAGATAAAACTTATAACACATCACTTTCGGCAGTTTGTGTACAGATAAAACTTATAACACATCACTTTCGGCAGTTTGTGTACAGATAAAACGTATAACACATCACTTTCGGCAGTTTGTGTACAGATAAAACTTATAACACATCACTTTCGGCAGTTTGTGTACAGATAAAACTTATAAAACAACACTTTCGGCAGTTTGTGTACAGATAAAACGTATAACACATCACTTTCGGCAGTTTGTGTACAGATAAAACTTATAATCTTGGTGACCGTAGTTTGTGTACAGATACAACTTATAACACATCACTTTCGGCAGTTTGTGTACAGATACAACTTATAACACATCACTTTCGGCAGTTTGTGTACAGATAAAACTTATAACACATCACTTTCGGCAATTTGTGTACAGATAAAACTTATAACAAATCACTTTCGGCAATTTGTGTACAGATAAAACTTATAACAAATCACTTTCGGCAGTTTTTGTACAGATAAAACTTATAATTGTGGTGAGTGTAGTTGCAGACTCATCGGTATTCATCAGCTAGATAGGGTCTTAGATCGCGAGTTCGAGGCCCGGGAAGGCACGAATCATGCTCTATTTTCCTTGGTAATTTCGTTTCAATGTTCTTTTTGTTACGTATCAAAATGATGAACATAATACATACAATTATGTGATCTGATGGTTTAAAAGCCACATGTCGTTATTGTAAAGTGATCTGATGGTTTATAGGCCACGTGTCGTTATTGTACAGTGATCTGATGGTGTTTAGGCCACGTGCAGTTATTGTACAGTGATATGATGGTTTATAGACCACGTGTCGTTATTGTACAGTAATCTGATGGTTTATAGGCCACG